CCAAAGCAGGGACAGGAGCACTCAAATCAGCTCTGCGGTAAGGACACACATCCCGTGTGGCAGCCGAAGGCTGGCTGAAGTGAACATCGGGCTGTCAAGATTGCAGGCTGCGATCGCAGAGAAAATGGCTTCAGCGAGACTACCAGAAATCTTTAAAAAAGCATTCCTTTCTCTGAAACTTAATACTACGCCTATTGCATTGTGAAAGACAGCCTCATGTCCACCTTTGCATGGCAGTGTCTCTTCATAACGTCACAAGTGACTGAAATTCTGATTTTTAAATGACTATTGAACATGAGAGGGAAATGTTTCACCATGAGAACAGTCAACCATTGGAATAATCTCCCCAGGGAATTGGTTGACTGCGCCACGCTGGACACTTTCAAGATGCAGCTGGACAGGGTGCTGGGCCATCTTGTCTAGACTGTGCTCCTGCCTAGCAAGGTTGGACCAGATGATCGTCCCTTCCACCCTGGGATTCTATGAGTCTATGATTCTTTTCCATATAAACTAGCATAGGAGGAAAGAAAACAAAACGCAGAATAATTTTGTCACAGTTTTTATTAGACAGTACAAGACACAAAGGATGGTTAAGCAAAGCTGACCTGGATGACACATGGACATGCCTCCCTTTTACAGATCATTAACATTTAGAGGCTGGAGATTTGCATTCATTCCTAATAGAACTTTTTTAACCAGTTCTCTATTATTATAAAAATTACAATTAATTGAATGTCAAGTTAAATTAAAAGGATGAGCACTCAGAATGTTCCAATGTAGGACACAGAAGATGGGTACCGTAAATTAAGCAGGGTTTTGGTGACTCTGAGATCTTGCATCTTCCACTGATGGTGATTCAACAGCTTTATTTTTTGGTGGATAACCATGGCTATAAGGAACCAAACCGTGAGCACCTGCCCAGGGTTTGGCACTTACGCTGCTTGACTTCTCTGATATTTTATTTTATAAGCCACATACTTTTCAACTGCTTTTACAGGGTCTTTCCATCCGTAAATATTAAATTCTCTGGAAGTCTTTGCCCAGGAGGATGCTCTGCTAATTATTGATGATACTGCAGTAAGGAAAGCAACAGTATTCCAGGATGGTCAGAGATGAGAACATCCAGCTCTGCCCATGTTTTTCTTGGCTTTGCACATTTGTGTGTTCCTTGTTAGTGTTTATCAAACTCAAATTATTTTTCTCCAGATAATCTTCTCATTCCTGTGCTCGTCGTGTTTTCCTCTGCGTCCTCTCAGCTTGTTTCCATTCTCTTTTCTCGGGTGTTATCACTTGTTTGTTCCTTTTTCTTTTAACAGAAGAGGCCCAGGCTACCCAGAACTGTACCTGGATCTCTTGTAGCTCTCGCTGCCTGGTTTATTATTATTTATTATGCAACTAGAACATGACCAGCATTCTGCCTTTTTGTCTTAAAAATTAAAATCTTTGCAAAAAACTACCACATTTAATTCTTATCCTGAGAAGGAACCATGAGGTGGTTACCTAGGATCACCTGCAGTAATGTTAGTGCTGTGCCTACGTTCTCATCCCTTTTGTAGGCACGATTTCAGTCTCAAAAAGTTGGTACCAAGCTTTAGCTTCCAAGTTTCTTTTAATGATGGGTATAATTATTTCTATGGGCACAAACAGTAAAAAAGGAGGGGGATGACAGGTAGTCATCAGTGTCGACAGAGGCATTATCTGAGCCCTGGTTTGTAAAGGTATACTGTAATAATTTTAAATTATTGAATTCGTCGACTATAAGCAATAGGAAAATGCCATTGCTTTCAACGACTCATTTAAATGTACTGTTTAATAGATTGAAACTCGTCTACCTGTCCCCTTGGCTTTTCTTTTCGTATAACAGCTATGAATCAAAAAAATAAAAATACTCTTACAAGGTTGCTGGGGATGATGGGGTGGCCCTTGTCTTGGCCATACATCTTCAGCCTTTCAGCTGTGTTCAGCTGGTCTGGAAGTTAATACGCAGGGTGATAAACTTCTTCTTTTCGACTGTGAAATGTTTTTGTAACCTTATTTATATCTGTCGTGACGCCGTGTCTAGATGGAGAGGGGCCGTAGCTTGATACTGGTGATACAGAGCAACAAAAGCACACAGGATTTTATCAGCTCTTACAGCATTTCTCCATTGTCTCATCCAAATGCTGTCCTTGGCTTTCTGCTTGTTTTTTCCTGTTTTGAAAACTTTTTAAGCTTTTACGAATGCTTTTAATCGCTAATTATAGGAGCATACAGCTCTCCAGATAACGTATACGCAATACTGGGATTCAGTCCCGCTTCTGTGTCTTTTGTGGAGCTCATTCCTCTTATAAATAAAATAAATTATTTGTTTGGTATAGTCAGTGATGGGTAAAAATCTCCACTGTAGCTCCTGGATTTCTTCATTTGGGTCCCAGATTCTTCACCTGCAACACCGTTGCCGAAAAACAGAGGGCTGGTTGTGTCCATCAGCTTCCAAAAACTTTAAATATAATTACTGAGCAATAACCTCTGGTAACTTTTAATTGTTTGAAGCTGACCAGTAGCTGAGTCTGCCTTTTCTTGAAATAACATGTTTGTAGATGGTTAACAACGCTGTCTGTTTAAACCAGCTGTATGCCTGGGTTTTAAGGTGAACATATTTTATTAAAAAGCATTTAGTTATTGAAAAGCATTTGTGTGGCTTGTTACCTTTCTGGTAACCGGATAGATCTCACTTGATCCTGAATCATGTTTCTGCAAAAGTAATGTATTCTGTATTTTAGGATAGCATCTCAGCTACTAGGTCGTCCTGCTGCACTGGGGAGAGAGTTGCGCAGATAGAATCATAGAATCAGAGAAGGTTTTGGGTTGGACGGGACCCCCAGAGGTCACCCAGCCCAACCCCCCTGCAGGAGCAGGGACACCTTGAACCACATCAGGTTGCTCACAGCCCCGGCCAACCTGGCCTGGAATGTTCCCAGGGATGGGGCCTCCACCCCCTCTCTGGGCAAGATGCTTGGAGCTTTTTAAAAGCCACCATAATATACCATATACTGAATTAAATCCAAGTTGATGGGCACATACCACTCCACAGATGAGTTAGCCAGGTCTGGATTTGTCTTCAGATTCCAGCTGAAGCAAGGATTTCAGGTTCTGTCTAGTATTTTGCATTATACACATTTCACAGCGTTTAACTGGGATGCTATTTCATAGCAGCTATGAATCTGTAGATTCATGGGAATCTACAGACGGAGGAACCACCGGCATTTTGAACGTAAGGATTGTTTCTGTCATGGAAGAACGCGATCCTGTTGACGGGCTGAGTAGCTGCGGTGATCAGCTTTGTAAGGGTTTCTGCCAACATCGTTACCTACACCACCATGGTCATTCTGGTGGATGAGGCAAAGTTATTAAAAAAGAGAAGGTCCTCACGTTTGGAAAAAAAAAAAAATCTGTAACCTCCACAGTCAGTCAGACATTGTTGCTGAAGAATAACATTTCATCGTAGCGCCTGCACCGAATGTTCTTCAAAGAAGCATTTCAAAAGGCTTTCATCGCTTAAATCTCCCTTGTACATGCGGAAGGCAGGCGGTGTGATAACCAAACCACCGCTGCTGCATGTCAGCGGCAGTACGAGGATGGGCACTCCCTTCTCCACGGTCCTCAGCACCGTGGAAGAGATGGAGGAGCAGGTTAGGGGAATGATGCTGCCTTCCGCAGGGCCAGATCTACGCTTGCAGGAAGAAACCTATCTTCGCTTTCCGTTGCAAGTTCTTTATATGAGTCTAACCAGGATAATGACAAGTTCCCATATTCTCTTTTCCCTTGGTAAGAGCATATATCTGACAAGTGACGATTCCTGCAACGCTACCCTAGAGTAGAAAATAACTCAACTATGTACGGGTTGACTGACAGTCCAACGAAATGCTGTTGCAAGTACAGCCTCGTTACGAAGTACTTAAGTGCTTTATGATAACTCAGAAAATGACTGCTTCGTAGGCAGTCGGCAAAAGGAAATGCCAGTGGTTTCAGCATTTGTACTAAGCAGAAAAACTCAGGATGGTTTGGTATGATTCACGTTCTTACCAGACCTGTAAAGTCTCACAGTCCGACGTTTGATGTGGTGGAGACACCCAACGATACAAACAAAGTAGGTTTGCCTTTTTTTCCCCTATCCCAAGGGAGGACACAAGGCGCTCCAGTCTAAACAACTGTATCAGGCACATCCCAGTGTGCAGCCCGAGGAGAGAAATCCAGAAGGCTGGCAAGGGGTCACATGCCAGCTTGTTCAGCTTCGCAAGTTTGAGTTTCAAAATCATCAGGAAGGGTTTGTCAAAGGCATTGACAGGATGAAAAGCTCTGCAAGTTTATCTTGAGCATTGAGGCTTAATGCGCTACAAAAGGAGTTTTCTTTTTTCCTTTTATTACAAGTATGCTTCAAAGCCAAAAAAATTATAAAAAAAAAAGAAAAAGAAAAAGGCCAGGGACAAAGTCTGGAAAACGGTGGCAGATGTTCAAGGTGCAATGGGTTTTGATCCAGTTAGTTTTCCTTCTCTTGTCTTTGCTTTTCTCTTTTACCAGCTGCTTTTTATTTTTCTGATGATTTTTTCTCTCCTCTTCTCCCTATCCTTCCTCCCCAAGCAGGGGCTCAACAGAAAATGTATTAAATTAAATATACGCTGAAGTGTTTTAACTTAGCATAGGAAGGGTTGCAAAAAACTCGCTTAACTCTTAGTGAATTTGGCTGATTACAGTCCGTTAACGCTTTTTGGCATCAGAAGATAGCTCCTGTTGAGGGAATCAAGCTATGAAGCTACAGTGCAATGCATTTCGGTTAAAATTTTGGTTATTACAGGAGAAAACAGATCTCTTTCCAGATACAGGCACGCCAGATTTGCTCACCATTGAGACGTTCACCAGCTAATAGCTCCATTAGTAATAATTACCTGGGTTCTGTCTTTATTACTTAATATATTTTACAATGGAAAAGGGCACGCTAACCTTTTCTTCCTTTCTTAAAGGCGCAAGATCTGAATGTGATTGAAGAAGTCATCCGCATGATGTTGGAGATCATCAACTCCTGCCTGACAAATTCTCTTCACCACAACCCAAACTTGGTGTACGCGCTGCTGTACAAGCGGGATCTGTTTGAACAGTTTCGAACTCACCCTTCCTTCCAGGACATAATGCAAAATATAGATCTGGTGAGTGATACATTATTTAAAGGATGCTTAGACCTTGTTATTTGATCACTTTATCCTTTGGAGAGGTGGGAAATACCATCTCTATCAGTCTATTTTAGAAAGTATTATAATGTTGAGTCTCTCCCTTGTTTTCTGGGCCTTCACTGTGACTTCCTTTGGGCAACATCTTTAACTTGGCAGAGCCAGGTAGATTTGGGATGCATCTGGTGAGGAATTCCCAACCGGTTACACATCTTTCAGTCCCCTAAGGAAGGACAGCGTCGTCTTCTCTTCACTGCCCCTTGTTAGAAACCTGTCTTTTGGGGGAGAAAAAGCAGATTTTCATCAACAACCAATCTTTTTCTTTTCCCTTACTCCCATCACCAGCCTATTAATGAATATGGGGGATTTTTTTAAAATAGCTAAACTGCCTTCTTCCCTGGACTGTATCTGAATGGGTGTTGCTTTCACCTGCAGAACGTCTCTCCCCAGCAATCCCTTTGGGTAAGTGGACATTTTAGGAGAAAACAAAAGGCAATAGCAATGGAGCAGAAGCTGTTGTGGCTCTCCATGGAGTATGACTTTGGAAAACAGTTGCTAATTAATTACTGCTGCATCTGATAGAGGCTTTAATATTCACACTGAGAACATGAGTAATGATTCCCATTAGAAAATAACAGATTTGAAGTGCAAGAAATATTCCTCTGTCCTCTAGTCAGTATTTGCAGAGCTGAGGAATGCTTGAAGTCACGCTGTGACCATTGGATGCAAAATACTGGAAGGGGAGGCTGAAGAGGGTGCTAAATTTCTTGCTGCGGTGAATAGCACATTTATGCAGTGTGAATAAAAATCTGCTGAGGTTCTGTTTTGATCTGCTTTTATTTTAAAGTATTACAGAAGATTGAGAGATTTCTGATGATCCATACAAGAAAGTCATTGTAAATGTTGAACTGAAATCCTGCGCTGTACCTATCCCTTCCTCTTCTGCTCTCACTTCGTATTTTCTGGTCATGCAAGAGCTTGGAGAGCAAAAGATTTAGAGCTCAGAATTCTCCAAACTGTTGGCAGCTGCAGACTACAGCCAGCATGATACTGCCTGGATGATTAGGACAAGATGTCTTCAAGTTGTGTAAAGAGAGGATATGGTGATGTGAAGGTAACAGTCGCCTTCCTGACTGAGATAGGGACCTTCTCTGGTTACTTGTCCAGATCCAGGAAAACCAGTGGTGGCCAAATCCTTCTGCATGACAGCCCTGTGCCTCCCACAGATAGCAGAACGTCCTTTCCTTTGTAACGCTTAAGTGTAGGTTTTCCTCAACAATTTAAACAATTCCTCCCCAAAACTATTTAATATTGGGTTACAGCATAATGCCAGTTACGTTCAGAAACTATTTAAAGCTTTCCAAGGGAGCATGTTGAATTTTTAAATAGTTCCTTTGTTAGAGAAGCGAGGATGTCAAAAAAAGATTATTTTTTTTTTATTTAAAATGTACCTGTCACCAGCTGGCAAGTGGTGAGAGCTGTCAGGCTTGCACATCTGAATAAAAGATTAGATTCAGCTGACTCCTCTTCTACCACATCACGTCTTCCACTTCATACACGGTATCGGCAGCGCTACCATCCTGGACAGAACCAATCTTTTTTCACATGTGCTACAACCAAAACGTATTAACTGGTCTTCCAATCCCTTGAAAAAGTGGCAAATCCTGTTGGTTTTACTATACACGTTGGGGGAGCTTGTCTGGAACCATCTGGGCAGTGTCTGAAAAGAACCAAAATACGAGTTCCTGCCTTCCAGACTTTGCTCAGGCTTTTCTCCACAGTGATGGAGGTGGGAGCTCCATCCTCATGGCTATGGGACGTTGTGGATGTCCAAAATATTGGTGTGCTCCAAAAGGAGTCAGAAAATCATGGGGGCAAAAAAAATCTTTAAAGGTTTGGCTCAATAAGTTCCTAAACTGTATGTTGCTGGAAGCTGGGAGAGTCTATTCATGGGGAGGATCTCCCTATTGACCTGTTCTTATATTTTTATTTAAACATCCATCCCAGCCTACTGTCAGATACTGAATAGTGAGCTGACCAGGCTTTCCGTGTGGCCAAGGCTGGATATTCAGAGGAGGATAGATCCACCAACTTCCCAGGGATCAGGGAGCTCTGCTGGGTTTCAGGCTGCTGTGCTCAACGTAATTTGGTGGCCGAGAGCATTTCCACTGTAGGTATAGATGGTAGATGTTGCAGCTTTTGGTAACGAAAGGATGAAGAGGAGAAGTTACCTTTCTGAAGACCCCAAAGCACGTCTGCAGGGGCTGTGCAACATGTTGGTTCTCTCCATCAGTACTTCTTCTGGTCATTAAATGGCAAAGTACGTTTAAAATATCTCCATCCACACTGTAGTGGAAGTATGAGTGTAATTTCCATCATCAGATGCCACTAGAGGTCCACGGGAGTAGAAAGTGCATTTTATGTTCTGGGTCACTCCAGCATCCTTCTGTGCTTTGGGAAAATCCTCTTTACATTAGGTGTAGGATTTTCTGATCCTAAGCTTTAGTCCAGCTTTGTATTTCATATGGAAATACTATCAGACAGTGTGGTAATGTTCTATATTGAAGAAATCTGACCAAAATACAGCATACGTGCAATCTGTAATGATGTTTGGACACTAAAACAGTTGCCAGGTCACCTTGTCAAGAATGTATAAAATGGGTATGACACATCTTGACTTTAATAGTTATTGGTTTTACTCTGCTGCACATGATGTTCTCGTAAACCAAATAGGAAGCACAGAAGAGGTGAAAATGCTAAAAAGTGGATGCAAAATTACTTGGAAAATGTACTTAGAAGCTAGTAATGAGTAGCTGATGGTGCAAATGGAAAGAGGTATCTGTGGTAGTCCTGCGTGGGTATGGAAAGGGAGAATAGCCCAGAGGTATCCTCTAAACCTACTCATGCTCGTGACTTCTTAGCTGGGATTACTCTGGGTTTAGGCGCCATGGAAGAAATTCTAGGGAGAAACAAGAAGGGTCAAAAACAGGCCCTCTAAGGACAAACAGAATGGGTGCTGATGAGCCACAGGAAGGCTAAAGGTGATGAGATGTTTTTCACATAAAACACTGCTGTGAAGGGAAAGGGAATAATCTGTTTCACATACGTGTGGATTCACAGGGCATAAGGAAAGGTTTTCTGATGTTAATAATAACGAAGCACTGTGGTAGGTTCCTGGGGACTTCACCATTGGAGACCTCTGGATAGCAGCCGTTCGGGCAGGATGACGCTGGGGCAGAGGATGGAGCAGACGTGGCTGTAGGCACACATGAAGATGGGGATGGCTCTGCAGCTCCACCAGCTGCTCAGCCCAGAGTGGCAATTGTCCAGGTTGGGACAGACTTGGTCACGGTAACTACGAACTTTGCCTCAGGATTTGGACTATTCAGGTTACAGGGCAGTGATGGTGCCCCTGTGCTGGGCACTGGGGGGGCCGCCCCTCGACTGCTGGGGTCAGGGTTGGGCCCCTCCCTCCCCGAAGGAGCTGGGGGGGCTGGAGCGTGTCCAGAGAAGGGCAGCGGAGCTGGGGAGGGGTCTGGAGCCCCAGGCTGCTGGGGAGCGGCTGGGGGAGCTGGGGGGGTTCAGCCTGGAGCAGAGGAGGCTGAGGGGAGCCCTCATCGCTCCCTACAACTGCCTG